GGAGGGACAGATGACAACTAAGGTTTATTGAATACTATCTGCCAGGTGTTGAAGTGGGGAGTAGGCAATGTACTGAAATCTCTCCTCTGGTTCCCCATAAATGGTGTGAGGTAGGCATCTCCCATTCGGTAGATAAAGAAAGCAAGGCCCGAGGTTACATAGCTGAGGATGAAGCCAAGACTCAAACCTGGGCCTGGCTCCAAAACTCCTGAGCTGGCTTTAGAAAGCACCCCTGTTCCAGAGGACTTGCCAGAGATACCCTCCCAGGATGAAAAGCCAGAGAGGTGTCTGGTGGTGCCTCCCCTCCATGGGATAGGTTATAGGCGCTCTTACTATATGCAGATCCTCCCGAAGGATTTTTTTTTTTATCATAAAAAATGTTAGTGATTGTCTTAGAGCTTCTTTTCCTGCTTTCCTCACAGTTGAAGTTTGCAAAGACTTCTTTCCACCTGTGACATGTGTCTCCCAGGCCATGTTCTCTCACCCAGAGGGCCTGGTACCTTCCAAAAATTCACTTATCTTTTATATATATATATATTTTTTTTTTTAATTGATTTTTCACAGAGAGGAAGAGAGAGGGATAGAGAGTTAGAAATATTGATGAGAGAGAATCATCGATCAGCTGTCTCTTGCACACCACCACTGGGGATGTGCCCGCAACCAAGGTACATGCCCTTGACCAGAATCGAACCCGGGACCTTTCAGTCTGCAGGCCGATGCTCTACCCACTGAGCTAAACCAGTTTTGGCTTCACTTATCTTTTTCCTTCCTTCCTTCCTTCCTTCCTTCCTTCCTTCCTTCCTTCCTTCCTTCCTTCCTTCCTTCCTTCTTTTTATAAGAAAGGTAATATCCTGTTACCAAGACAACTATTAAACTCTTCTCCAAACTTCATTGCTAAGGAAATGAAACTATTAAAAGGCCATTGCTCTGTAATTCAGGAAATTGAATCAACTTGTATGGAGCCCTGAGCAAAAAAAAAAAAGTTCCTATATTTGTACAATGAAATATCTCTTTAACAAATAAAAGATTGTTAGGTCATGAGCATCAAAAATTTCTGCAGGTAAATATTAAAATTATTGAGGTTGGATAATAGTCACATGATGGTTCATGATACTATTTTCTCTGCTGTTAGTATATATTTTAAATTTTTCTGTAGTAAAAGGATTAAAATACTTTTATTAGACTGCAGATAAATTTAACTCATATTTTCTAACTTCTTCCAATACTGCCAATCCAGAGAATATAGACTTTCCTTGCTTCTCTTCCCCTCCCAAACTTAAAACTAGTCAAATTTAGACACATCAGGCAATGGATAGAAGGGAAGGGGGAGATAAAGTACAGTTAGGCTCCAGAGCTCTGATCTGCTACTTCTTTAACTAGTAAGTTCTAGGACAATCACTCACATTTTAGGGTTTAAATTGACAGCCACTTGGACTATTGAGCACTTGAAATGTGGCCAGTGCCACTGAAGAATTGAATCGAAATGTGCTGTAAATGTAAAAAACATACTTATTTTGAGGACTTAAAACAAAAACATCTCAGTAATTTTTTTATATTGATACTAGAGGCCTGGTGCATGAAATTTATGCATGGTAGGGTTGCTAGACCTGGCCAGCAATTGGGGCCGATTGGGGCCTTTCGGCTGCCGCCCGGGGCCTCCCTTCTCCAGCTGACAGCTGGGGCATTCCTTCATTCCGCACCGCCCCCTGGTGGTCAGTGCACATCATAGTGAGCCATCAAACTCCTGGTCGAACTTCCCAGGAAACACTTTGCATATTAGCCTTTTGTATATATAGATATGTGGAAATAATATTGTAGATATACTGGTTTAAAGAAAATATTTTACTAAAATTAGTTTCACCAATGTTTTTAACTTTTTAAAATGTTTTCATTGGTCTATATGGTTCAGTGGTTGAGCATCAAACCATGCAACAAGAGGTTGTTGATTCGATTCCTGGTCAAGGCACATGTTGGGGGTTGAAACTCGATCTCCAGTAGGAGTTATGCAGGAGGCAGCTGATCTGTGTTTATATCTCTTCCTTCTCCTTCTCCCTTCTTCTCTCTCTAAGAAAATTAATAAGAGGTCATTATTAGAAAATTTAAAGGTATATATGTGCCTCACATTGTATTTCCATTAGATAGTATTGCCCTTGAGTTTATGAGAAGATAACTTTATATGACTGAATATTTATTCCCGATTAGGGCCCCAAGACTATAAAGTTAGATGTTAGACTGTAAATGATTAAAAAGCTAATGGTTTCTGTTTATAAGCGAAAGATAACCCCAAAAGTTTTCATTTTATGTCCCTCTAGGATATTAGTTTTGTATCTAGTTGATAGATTTCATTCATCCATGTTTTATTTTCTTTAATGGTTTGAGTAGATTTATTTCTCATGGTTGTACCAAGCAAATTCCTACATAATAAAAGAGTAATATGCAAATTAACCATCACTCTGCTATACCCACTAGCCACGCCCACCAACCAATCAGAGCAAGTATGCAAATAAACCCAACCAAGATGGCTACCAAGAGGGAGGCTTGGGTTTCCCCAGCAAAGGAAGAAGCCAAGCTTTCCACACACAGAAATGTGGGCCCAGGCCTCCATTCAAGGCTACAAAGTTTTAATTATAGAAGGTAAACAAATCCAAATAGAAATTGCAGTAGCCACGGAGTGAGCAGAAGGCTTGGCTCCACTCCAGGCTACAAAGTTTCAATTGTAGAATGTAAATAAATTCCAGATACCAAGGCCTCTGCTTGGGTCGCCAGGAGATGTAGCTGGCCTGCAAACCACGACAGGCCCCTCGCTCAGGCCACCCCACGCCCCAAGGGAACCCCCACCCTGATCTGGGACACCCTTCAGGGCAAACCAGCTGGCCCCCACCCGTGCATCAGGCCTCTATCCTTTCTAATAAAAGAGTAATATGCAGATTGACCATCACTACAACACACAATATGGCTGCCCCCATGTGAACAAAGATCCTGCCCCCATGTGGACACAAGATGGCCATCACAAGATGGCCAGCAGCGGAGGGCAGTTGGGAGGGACCAGGCCTGCAAGGGAGGGCAGTTGAGAGGGACCAGGGCTGCAAGGGAAGGCAGTTAGGGGTGACCAGGCCAGCAAAGGAGGGAAGTTGGGGGCAAACAGGCTGACAGGGGGCCAGTTAGACATCAATCAGGCTGGCATGGGAATGGTTAGGTGGTGATCAGGCTGGCAGGCAGAAGCAGTTAGGGGCAATCAGAAAGGAAGGCAGGTGAGCAGTTGGGAGCCAGCAGTCCTGGATTGTGAGAGGAATGTCTGACTGCCCTTTAGGCCCAATCCCGCCTAAACAGGCAGTTGGACATCCCTTGAGGGATCCCAGATTGGAGAGGGTGCAAGCTGGGCTGAGGGACACCCCTCCCCACCCCATGCACAAATTTCGTGCACCAGGCCTCTAGTCATTGTTATAAATCAAAAATTAGATTGCTTTTGTCTCTGGAAATTGTTTTGGCTATTCTTTTTAAATTTATTTATTATTATTGTCTAACTATTCTTGTATTCAAAAAGACTCTTGGTCCTATTGATCAAATGATATAATGGTTATAAATTTAAGAGTGCTTACTCTGTGAACTATTCTTTAATGTGTCTATTTAGAATTATGCTTCATTGAATTGTCTTGCCTTGCTTCCCTAAAAGGACAGTTAGAAGGAAGTGAAAATATTGAATAATGTGGATATTGAGTTACAGTTCTTTTCTTTCACTTGACCTTCTCATGTGTTTATGTACATAAAGACACAGGAAATGTAATATTTTATGAATTTTTAAAAAAAATTAATTGTTGCCTAAACCGGTTTGGCTCAGTGGATAGAGCGTCGGTCTGCTAACTGAAAGGTCCCAGGTTTGATTCTGGTCAGGGGCATGTACCTTGGTTGCGGGCACATCTCCAGGAGGGGGTGTGCAAGAGGCAGCTGATCGATGTTTCTCTCACATTGATGTTTCTAGCTCTCTATCCCTCTCCCTTCCTCTGTAAAAAAAAATCAATAAATATATATATATATATATATATATATATATATAAAAATTTAATTGCTTTGAGAGAAAAATATCTATTTGTCCTTCTACTTATTTATGCATTCATCGGTTGATTCTTGTATTTGCTCTGACTGGGGCTCAAACCTGCAAACATGGTATATCAGTATGACTCTTGAACTGAGCTACACGGCCAGGGCAGAAAGGTGATATATTTTAAAATTGCAGATCTGGTTCCCAAAAATACCTTTCCAGAGGTCCTCATTCCCAGTGCTGGGCCCACAGAAATGTGTTAGCCTGCACCGTGGGACAGGAGCTATTCTTTCCCCCTCCTTGTCCACAAGGAATAGGGGTTGTTTATGAGCTTCTTATAAAAACAGAGCAGCAGCCAGTTGGCAGGAGCTGTGTCACCATTTCCAGGTACACAGAGCCTCTGCTTGTGGCCTTCTTGAACACTTGCCTTTGCCAACCCCTTTTGAAATCACATTTGAGGGACAGTAATAAATAGGAACCTGTTATACATTCCATCTGGCAATTTTTTTTAAATGCTTTATTTACTGATTTTTAAAGAGACAGAGAAAGACAAAGAGTAAGCTGTGAATTTATTGTTCCAGATATTTATGCATTCATCGATGGCTTGCTTTTGTGTGTCCTGACCAGCGATCGAAGCCATGGCCTTGGTGCACCAGGACCATGCTCTAACCAACTGAGCCACCCGCCTGGCTGTTTTCTGTTAGTCTGCCCATTCACAGTGTCCGTTGACTGCTGAGAATCAAAGGAGACAAGACAGCAATAAAGGGAAGTGTAGAAGACCAGAGGTCCAGATCCCTTAGCTACCAAAGTAAATAAATACCGCAGCGCTGCCGCCCAGACAGAGCGGAGCTAAAAGTCCCCTTTTACTCTCACTCCTTCCTACCCCTTTCCCTTTTGTATCTGGAGGTTTGGGAAATCGCTATGACCGTGACTTGTTAGGCATGATGTTTTATTTTATTAGGTTGGAATGAAATACAGAAACCTAATCCTGAAACCCGGGGGATCTCTGGACGGCATGGACATGCTCCAGAATTTCTTGCAACGTGAGCCAAACCAAAAAGCGTTCCTAATGAGCAGAGGCCTGCACGCCCCGTAAGCCGGGCCCTCTGGTAGCGGTCCATGTCTGGAGGACAAGCTGACGTCGCCTTGTGTGCTACTGGCCTGGAAACTGAAGGGAGTTTTGCAAATGAAAATGTGAGATTTCTATTGACTTGCCTTTTATTTCTTGATTTAAAGAATTACACGGATGTAAAAGGAATTATAAATACGGTGACCTACGAAAAGACCCATTCAAAAGTAATTGTACTATAAAATTTCATAAAAACAGATTTGATTTCTTTTTTTTTTATAAAAGTTTCATATGAATGTAATTTGATTTTTTTTTTTTTTACTCTTGTAATCTAAATAATGTAAGAGGGCTCAGAATTCTTAAATCAAATCACATGCATTATACAATTCGATCCTCCTTACAGCTTGCAGTTCTTTACTTGGGATTTCTGGACAAAAGTGAGTCACCACATTCCTCCGGTGATCATTTTCCTGGAGCCTCGCATCCACTTGGACTCTGTCTCACCCTCAAGTGTGACCTCTCTGCCTGCGTACCTCAGGGCCAGGGGAACATGCCTCAGTGATGCATTTGTCTTTGTATTACAGGCCTCGCGATCCCAGCCTCCTGCCACACTTAAATGATGTTCCTCTGTTTGGGTTTGTCTTTTCTGTCCAAAGTCCAGTCAGAGAATACCAAAGAGTGACGAACTCTAGCCTCGTGTAGAGATTGCAAATGTCTGTACCTTGTTTGGAGGATTTGGGGATCTTTGGGAGAGTTTGTTTTCACTTCGGGGTATTAGGTTGGCAGTCTCTTGGCACCGTAGCCAGTGAAAACACTGCAGCAAGGACATCTCTCCCTTGTCACGTTTCTAATACGTGGTGGGGACTCTGCCTCATGTACTGCCCACCTCACCCGCAGTGGCTGGTCCGCCTGCCCCGAGGGGCTCTGTAGAGATGGGAGCTGACACAGAGGAGGTCAGGAGCCGCAGAAGAAGAGCGGCTTCTGGACAGAGCGTCCTCGCACGGCTCTCCCAGGTGGCAGGTGCGTGCTCACACTCAGCCACTCTTCAGGAGTCCGTTTTGTCTGGTGATTTTGTGTGTGTTTTTTTCAGAGACCCTTGGGATCTCTTTAAACTAAATGGGGGCCTAAATCCCAGTTCTGTAGCAGACCAGTAAACTCTCAGAGCTTATTTTTCCTCTAGGAGTCTACTCCATAAGAAGAACACAACAGGGTAATAAAACTTTTTAAAGGAAAAAAAAAAAAAAAGGAAACTTTGAATGTACTCTACCTAAATCTTCCAGGTGCTCCCACTGTGTGCCTGAGGCATGACTTCGCTGGCCAGCCACAACATGAGGACCTTTTTATTGTCTAGTCCAAATGGACTTTGTGATAAGTAAACATATACATATAATGCTGCATACTAAAATTATAGACAGCAGGAAAAGTCGACAGCTTTAGAGACACAGAAGAAGAATCCGAGGTTATTACTGCCAAGCAAATACCTTCAACATCCACATGAAACCCTCCCCTCCCTCTGGAGACAATTGCCTGGCCCTTCTCACTCCCACACTCGTACAGTGTCACCACCTCTCGTCCCCGAAGCTGTTTTTTATGTTCTTAGCAACCTGTGGTACAATTCTATATTTCCACCCGCCCTCCCCGCCCCCAAGACTGTTCTGTTTTCCAGTTTCCGACAAAAACTCTCTTCAGCTTTTTCTGTTGCCCGGTGTGTCTTTCTAACAATAACTTGACCATAACTTTTAAATCTCAACGTACTTCACGTGGAAAACTAATACTTGGTGTGAAAAAAAAAAAAGCTGCACACAATAAAGTTGCATTTATTATCTACAAGAAAGAGCTCACATTTCTTTCTTACATTCATGTGAAAACCGAAGTGCATAGAAGAAATAAAGCTACGGTGTTCTTTTCACTTAAGGTACACATTACTTAAAATCTGCCAAAGAACAGCAACAAAAACACTCACACACAAATGTATATATTCTCTGGCATAATTTAAAACGAGGGACTTAATTGTTAAAGCTTTTTTGAATTCGACTGTCCGTCTGCTTGTTCTTTTTTTCCAGATCTGAGCATGAAGTGTCGACAAGGCACTCCGAAGGGTGGGTAACTATAAAAATTGTACTGACACAACCTACACTTAAGGTTTGTGGACTGAGCCACACTTAAAGTCTCTCTTGCCCTAGCCAGTTTGGCTCAGTGGATCAAGTGTCGGCCCAGAGTGTGGACCGAAGGGTCCCAGGTTCAATTCTAGTCAAGGGCACCTCCCTCCCTTGTAGGCTCAATCCCTGGCCTTGGTAGGGGCGTGTGGGAGGCAACCAATAAATGTGACTCTCTCTCATCAACATTTCTGACTCTCTGTTTCCCCCTCCCTCCCTCTTTCTCTAAAAAATAAATTGGAAAATCTCCTCCTACGATGATTAACAACAACAAAAAGACACTTGAACCTTGGCCCAGATAAGCATCTTCCCATGCACCAAGAGGTCACAGGTTCAATTCCAGGTCAGGGCACATGTCTAGGTCTAGAACTCCACTCCCAATTAGGGGGTGTGCTGAAGGCAGTCCATCGATGTTTCTCTCATCAATGTTTCTCCCTTCCTCTCTTTAAAATCAATAAAAACATATATTTTAAAAATAGACACTTGATGTCTCTGTTGACATCTTTGTGGCTAAGATGAGGATATGTCTGGATAATCATTAGCCAGGTAAGAATTCCTAGCTATTGAAAGCGCTTAAGAGAGTTGGATAATGATTCACAGTTAAAGTTTTGGGAAACTTCTAGTCCTTTGGGTGAAGACACAAGAAATTCCGTAGACAGTATTATTAAATTTACAGATAACAGAGCAGGAATAGTTAAATATGATAATATTAAGATTTAAATTATTTTAGTGCTGAGACCAATTTGAGAAGTAGGACACATTCTATTGCCAAAGTAAAAGGAGGGGAAACCTGACTTGATAGTGGCACTCAGAAAAAGACCTGGCAGTTTTATTTGACCAAATTCCTATCTAAGCCCCCCATACAGCACATGTGGACAGGGTACTTCTAAGGGTGTATGATGGAAGGGTGTACCTGGATCAAAAGAAGAATCCCTCTGGACTCTGAGGTAAGATCAGTCACAGCTAGAATATCATGTTCTGTTCTGGGTGTCAGGTTTTAAGCAGACTGTGGCCAAGTATTACAGTGCTTGGGAGAGTAAGAACAGGAGGGTGATGACCTTGAACTTCTCAAGAGAAATACATGAAAGAATTAGGGAAGTCCCTGCTGGAGATGAATTCAGAAATGTTTTCAAGTCCTTGAATGGCATGGGAGAAAGAATAGGATGATTCTGTATTGCTGCAGAAACCAAAGCTTGGAGAAATGGTTGGAAAATATAAGGAGGCTTCGGTTCAGTGTGAGGAAGCATTTCTAATCATTGTGGGTTACAAACACATTCTGCTAAAGCTAATGAGTATCCACACAAAGCCTGGAGCTGCCAGGAGTGTTACAAAGGGGATTCCTTCTTTGAGTACAGATCAGCTTTGAGTTAGTTTAAGGTGCAAGAAATTTGTAATAATCATCGAATTTGTAATATTTCACTCAGGTGAAATATTTACATGCTGGATCGTAGACATGGCATTTAGATGGGTGCAGCTCCCTTGTATTGCAGGGATATGGTTCAAGCATTTATTGTGTAAGCATTGCTTACTCCTTATCCCTACAGGTTATCAGTCTTCCTGTGAGTAATCTGATAACAGGGTGGGAGAGTAAGAGTTGTATTATGACCGTTGTAAAGCCAAAGGCTTTACAAAAAGAAAAGCTTATTTTCTTTCTTTACAGCATATACAGTTGCCCTGTCCATTGCACCCACCACTATCTTCATCACACACTCAGAGGCAAAAACGTAGCTCAGACACCCAGTTCCCTTTGTATGCTCTGCGCCATATTGTGATTCTTTGAGTCATTGATTCTATCCTACAGCCTTTGACTTACAATGAATAGTCCGTAAATATTTTAAAATACATATACCTACTTTTAAATAATCTTTTGCTATAAGGAATTATTTTTTTATAATAATTGCAAAACACCTCATAAGTGAATCTAAAACTACATAGATAAGTTCTTTTTTTTACACTTCATACAAGAAGGGGCCCTTTTCCTTAGTGTACTGGAAGAGTTTGTGTGAGGTAGATGAAAGAAATGTGCTTTTTGTAAAAAACAAAACAAAACAAAAAAAAAAACACACACACACATAGAAATTTAAAAATATATATTTGTATTTTAGTCTTTTGATTGATTGATTTGAGAAAGAGAGAAACAGACTTCTTGTCCTACTTATTTATGCAGATGCCCAACTTTGTAGTACTAGGATGATGCTCTAACCAACTGAGCTACCCGGCCAGGGCTAAACTTGGGAATTTCTTAATCTCTCTAGAAGATCTATGGTTCCTTGGAAGATCTATGAAAGGGGAGACAGAGCAGAAGTCCTTGATTGCCCTGAAAATATATTGAAAATTTTTTGTACCTAGCTTTGTCCATTTCTTGTATGGAAAGAACCCCTCGTGTGCATCAGGAAACTGTAAGAACTGTCTTAAACAATTTGTTTTCAAACTTTTGGTTTTGAATTCAATTTAAAGACTACAAAGTGCTCCTGTAGGCACTGTTCTTGCTATTTAAGATACAAGAAGGTCCACCCTAAACCAAGTTGCTCACAATATCATGAGGGAGGCAAATACATTATTAATATGCTGAGATAAAGTGCATAAGAAGCTTTTATGTTGTTTTCTTCCACACTCGTTGACCCTTGTACAGTTTAACCTTTGAGCCTCAGTGTTTTATGATCACATTCCACCCACCACCACAGACTTACTCCTAACCACCTGGTTGACTCCTTTCTCAGCATTACACAAAAGGACGAAATGGTGTTCTTCTATCTTTGTTATATCTGGGAGTTCCTTAGACCCTGTGGTTAAAGGACTCACAAGAAATAGATGAAAATATTCACTTTAACCATTATTATTCCAAAGAATAGTTTATTAATTTTTAGAGAA